ATTTTTTATTTTGAGACAGGGTCTTGCTAAGTTATTTAGAGCCTTACTAAGTTGCTGAGGCTGGCCTTGACTTGAGAGTCTCTTGCTTCAGCCTCCAGAGCTGCTGTGATTATAGCCACACATCACCACATCTGGCTGGATCTAGGTTTTTTATGTTTTTAGTCGTAGATATACACAATACCTTTATTTTATTTATTTATTTTTTATGTGGTGCTGAGGATCGAACCATAGGCCAAGTAAAAATATCTATTTTTCCCAACTACTATCATTTATGAAACTGATTATGTTGGGTAAACCTAGAATTTCCTTTTACTATTTTTTTAGACATTGATGGGCCTTTATTTTGTTCATTTATATATGTTTGGTGCTGAGAATTGAACCCAGTGCCTCACACATGGTAGGCAAGCACTCTATCACTGAGCCACAACCCCAGCTCCGAAGGAATAAAGGCTTACTCTTCGTGTGTGTGGGGGAGCTGGGGATTGAACCCAGGGCCTTGTGCATGCAAGGCAGGCACTCTACTAACTAAGCTATATGTCCAACCCCCAAGAATTTTTTTGAACTAAGCAAATCATGAATTAAATTTTTAGTGACACTACTTTATGATATCTGAAGTGCTTTTCTGGCACAATTTTAATAAATGCTTTTGTACCAAGATAAAGTTCTTTTCTTTCATTTTATTTATTTACTTTTTAAAACAGGCTACATTTTTTTTTATTTGTAAGGACTAATTTGTTTGACTTTATTTCTCTTATTTTCCTCTTTTTATTTATTTTTTTCCCTTTTTTTTGGAATGAAAAGGGTTGGGGAATTTCCCCCCCACCCCCGTACAGTATGTGACTGAGCTCTCAGGCCCCCTGCATATCCCATGTCAGCTAACCACTTTCAAGTGGATTAATATTTTGTCTGGTCAGTGCCAAGGTGCAAGTGTTTGTCTTCATTTACTCCCAAAGAGAAACAAAGCATGTTGCACCATCCTGCTTAGGTAAAGATTAACTGTGAGGACACAGGTTTTGTCAGAAAGGGAAGATTCATTTTATCTTGGGTTTGAGACTGGGAGAGTGGTAAGCATTCAAAATCAACGGGAAAGAACAATCCCCTTTCTGGTCCCTGAGATTGATGATAAAGATGATCACCTTGAAGATGTCAATCTCCAAAGTGGTTTCATGTTGGGGATCAGGAGCTGCAGGAAGGGGTGTCATACTCAGTGAAAGAAATCAAAGGGTGTGGCCCAGGAGTACCATCCCACACAGGGATGTTTCCTGACCCAGAAAACTGAAAATCAGGTTTGTTTCTGATCAGCCCCAGTTCCAATTTTGGTCACTGGAAATCCCTGCCTCCTCTGGGGTGGCAGAGTGGAGTGACTGGGTTGGAGAGGTCTAAAGCTATATGGAGGAGGCCAGGCCATGATTGGGCAGATCTTCAGCAGGAGAGCACCCCATTTCTCCATCAGCCATAGGTCAGATGGAACAGAAAGTTTGAAGGGAAAGAATATCTCAGTCCACCTTGAGTTCAAGCCCAAGGTAAGGTACCCCCACCCCTACATTTGGTTCACATTGTCATATTAACTCTTAAATGTAAGGAGGGAAAGAGCAAGTGGATGCCTCTCAGACAGATAGTCCCAAGTCACCAAGAAAGTGATAGTTAAATGTTTTCCAAGCCCAGACACTGAGTTCTGATTATGTCTTAGGAAAAACTAATCCCTTGACTTCCTCTAGAGTGCCAGAAACCCCCATAAAAAGAGAAGGCTGGTTCTTTCTTATAGTCACCAAGGAATATCAGGTACCTGGCACAGGACAGTGGGGTAGGCAGCTGGCTAGTCACTGGGTACACCTGCTCTGCCTCCCAATCTCCAGCCATGCAGTGACAGCCTATTCTTTCATTTTATAGAATTAAAATGTTTTCCAAGTTAGAAAACATCTTAAGATAATTCCTACAGCTAACATTTTGCAGATGGAAATATTATTAATGCTCCAAAGGTTTACTGGCTTGCCTAAGGTAGTACCAAAACTCAGGCCAGGTTGGTTTTATTATTTTTTAAACCATTCTTAAATTAACCAAGGCTTCTTAATTACACCCTGCTGTCATTTGGGATGACAACATTAGGAAGGATACTTCACAGTGGAGCTACACTTAACTTTAACAGTTTCTTTGTGTTTTCCTCAATGTCCAGCACAGGATCTGGTTCATGTTTGGAACCAAAGAAGGGAGACATGTAACAACCCCAGACTCAGTGACCTGGGTCCTATATAACTAGAACCCCTGACAACCTCTGCTTGTTTGTTCACTCTGCTCAAGCCTCACTGGCCTCCTGATTCTCAAACATACCAAACACGGGCCTAGAAAGCTCCACCTCACCATATTCACCTGACTTCTCTCCCACAGTACGATAGATCAGTGTCATTTTGCCCATGAGGCTTCTTCATACCATACTATGAAACGGCACCCCCATATTCTCTAAACTCCTCACTCTGTCTCTGTAACACTTTTCTCCGTCTAACATATTTGGACTTGTCTATTTGTGCGTGGATCATGTTTCTCCATAAGAATGCAAGCTCCACTAGGAGACGAACTTATAGGAACTTTCTTTTATCTCTAGTTTTATTGTCAAATCTTACACATGACATGAAGTAGGTGCTCTATCAATATCTGTGGAATGAATGAATGAATGTTAAAGGAACTCACCTTCCTGATATTTCAATTCTTCATTTTAAAAGCTAAGAATGCTTTTAATATTGTAAAATGTCATAAAGTTAAACTGCAAGACACTTCAAAATGCAAGGGATTTTATAATAAAATCGGGTGCACCTACAGCAGATTATGCTTAGTGAAGCTAGTCAATCCCTAAAAAACAAATACCAAATGTCTTCTTTGATATAATGAGAGCAACTATGAACAGAGCAGGGAGGAAGAGCAGGAAGAAAAGACTAACATTAAACAGAGACATGAGATGAGAGGGAAAGGGAGAGAAAAGGGAAATTGCATGGAAATGA